CCGGGTAGATGCTATCCGAATAAGCACATCCAAGTTTTCCGAGTGTAATACCGAGAAGCCTTTGAGTATACATTTACTTTCAAGAAGCGGCAAACTGCAACTACATGCTTGCAAGGTAGCTGCTCAAGCTGAAACTTTCTACAACTACAACTGTTGTTCGTCAAATCTACGAGGCCGTCCATATAACCGTCCAAAACATTATACTGCGCATTATTTAGTTTAACCACATTCATCCTTGCAGCATCCTCCAACTTGTTCCTCAACTTCTTCTCTCCAAAATTGGGGCACAATGTTGTTGTGCAATTCAAAGCCAAGTCACGACGTTCGGTGAACCATTTCACAAAGAGATTAATAATTTCCCCTATCAAATGAACCACTGGCATCATCCTTGCAAACCTAAGGACTGAGTTGATTGACTCCGCAATATTTGTCGTCATTACATTGTAGCGGCGTCCATCCATGTGAGCTCTAGACCACTTATGTAACCCTGCCTCTTCAAGATATTGAGCAACAAGTTCCTTTCGCTTGATCTTGCTAAAATGACAATCAAATTCAGCAATGGAATAAGATTTCGCAGCCTTCTCACAGTGCATAAGTATGTGATCATGCTTTTTCAACTTGCAAGTGCGTTTCATATTCCCCTTCATATGATAAAAGCATATGCCATGTTGCGCAGTTGGTAAAACTTTGTTCCACACATTCTCTATGCTAACATTGCGATCAGAAATAATAACAAGATTGAGACACTCACCAATGGCTTCATGAAGTTTAGTGAAAAACCAATGCCATGATGCATCCGTCTCCAAATCCCCGATCCCAAAAGCAAGAGGATATAGATTTCGATTACCATCGAATGCATTTGCTACAAACATAACACCCTTGTACTTTGATTTTAAATGAGTGGCATCCACGGTTATCACTGGGCGCATGGAAGAACGAAACCCTCTAATACATGCGCCAACCGCCATAAAGAAATACACAAAGTGATTGTTCTCATCAGTTTGGATGTGTGTTTTTGTGCCGGGATTCATACGCTCCAATTCATAGCAATAAGCTGCAAGGATATAATATGTCTCCTCCGCTGATCCTCTAATGGACAATAGAGCTAACTCCCTTGCTTTCCAAGCTTTCGAATAATGGATGCTGAAACCAAACTTGTGTTTCACATCTCTCATAATGTCACTTGTTGTGTATATTGTCCGAGAATCCTTAAACGTCCTTTTAAATGAAGTGGCTACAAGTGCTGCAGTTGCTTGAAGATGGTTGTCACTTACAAACCTCAAATTACATTCATGAACAGTTGTACACCTCACAATCATGAAGCTGTATTCTCCAACTCTCGATGCTCGGACTAGCCATGGGCATGGACGTTGACAACAAACCACAAGCAACCTCTTAGTGCAAGACAATTGCACCTTAAATTCAAAGTGGC